ACCTCGATTTTGCCTGGAGAGGATTACAGAGCGGATGAACTTGGTGTTGTCAGTTCGCCCATAAGACGTTTCACCCCCCTGGACCACCCTATGGAACCATGTTATTGCTTCACGGAATATACGGCTGGGCATGCGCGACGCAGATAAATGAAGGGCACAATAAGGTACTCAAGTCTGGCTTTTTCCGAGTAAATACGTATGTATGTATGAAAATCCTAAAGTTACGTTTTTGCTTAATTTAGTGCCACAATAAGTTTACATTTTGAGGAACACAGATTTCGTGACGACAGAATTGTAAAAATATAACCCATGTGTCAAACAAACACATTTTTTAAACTACCGTCGCTTGGTGTCTTATTGAAAAAAGGTTGTGCTCCAAGTGTAATTCAAAAATGTATGTGTTATAAACAGAATATGCGTGTTATCTACGTTAAAGCTCTTTTTGGTTGCATATGTGTTCTGTCTGTTATGAATATCCCTGAAAACAGAATGCCACAAGCCATTCAGATACATGTTTTTGATCTACAAGATAATATAAGATAATTCTGATGAATAAGTGGCTAGAGGTTATTATCTAATGATATTGTAAAATTAATACAAAAATAGTTTTCCTATGTAACAAAAGCATAAGCCTCTTCCATAATGGCAGTGAAGAAAGAAGTTACAAATTTATTTATTCGAGTGAGTTAGCCGCTTAGAGTCACTGTCAGAATCTCTATCAGTCGGAGGATAATGTATGTGCTTTGAACTGTCATCTGGACTAAATCCAGTACCATCTTGTTCTCTATATCCATTGTTTTCATCATCGACCAATTTACATTTAGCATGCGTCTTGGAATTTAAGTGGCTTATATTTTTCTCGTGGTTGTTCAAAAACGCCATTCAGAAATTATAGCGGCATCTATAAGAGAATTGTCAAAATAGTCAGCTTCAGATATAGGTACCTACGTCGCGGGTGTTTTCAGATGGAGATGCGGTTTTTTATTGAAATATGGCTTAGATAGCGTATTTCCCCAAGCCCTTCAAATGAACTTTTACCTATCAATTTTGAATGAATCCTCTCTGAAAGACAACAAGCAGATTTCGATTCTACTCACGACACTAACGCTTGCGATGACACTGTCGACAAAAAATTGTTGCATCTTTGACGTTAGTAGACCAAAATTGGGTTTTTGACACCCTAAATAGGTGTTCTGGGTGGACAAATACTAACACAAGAGAATAAAATCGTACCTCACAAGCTTCCTATTACCCTAGTGGTTCGTTGCCCGAGATACCAAAGGCTAGACCATGCTGACTAGTAGCCAAAACACACGAAACAGCGATTTATAGCTGGCTGTTTTTGGTCGGATGAAAACAGAGCATGTTTATTGTGCTCAATGGCAAGTAGACCACATCTACAACACAGCTAGAGTCGTCGCCATCTAGCGGTCTAGTAGTGGCTGGGCCTCCAATTCGAGGACTGAGATCTACCGGTATACAGTCCCAACAGATAGGTTGCGACTAATTGTCCGCAGTGGTCGACTCTAGTGATAGATGGCGCTTTGGTGTGTGAACATTGTTTAATCAAACCATAATTGGACCAGAATTATTACAAACCAAACGTTTTCTCAATCTCGATACGATAGAATTTCTTTGGAACGAACTTAATCGAGCAGTCATGTGTCCGGAAGATTTTGAACATTATGCCATATTTGTTTGACCTTTTACTAATAAAATGTGTTTCATTTGACAGCCAGAAAACATGGAGAATTGTCAGCATGGAAACCACAGGATAAATTTCAAGTGTTACATACATTATTTTTGTGTCTACATTTACATGCATAACGAATAAAAATCATGTTTTGGTATATTTTATTGAAAACTGTGTTATCAAAATATATTCATACGTACAATGTAAACAAGCAAAAATAATCTTGATGCAGAGCCAGCACAACACTTTTAATGTACCATAATTTAACGAACGTTTTTGCAAAAACGTTCTGCACTCCCTTAGTATGGTTGTATTATCGCAAACTGTTACATAAACAAAACCCAGATTATGTACCATCAATTCTTATTTGGATGCACTCATGCATCCTTGTTTTAAAATTTTGAAGTACATACAACAACCACACTAACAGTGAAGAAAAAAAACTTGTGTAACTAACTGAAAACTATTTTTGTTAATGTGCATCATTTCGAGACAATTCTGAGACTCATGCAATTACACTACGTTCCTTATCTATTGACGCATAAAATTTTCTTATAAACAGATAGTCATAAAATTGTCATGTAGGTATAGAATAGAATCTACTGGAAGACATATTTTAGTATTTATATAAGGGTGCAAGATATGAGATATGTAAATAAAATATTTGACCAACGATGATCTACTGTTTGGACATTGTTTAGCTTTAAATCGTAGTTATTCTGGATTTTTGTACTGTCAAGAAGGCATTAGGTACGTATACCAAAGCCAAGTACTGATAAAAAGCTGTCAAAGGGCGTTAGAGACATATTAAAGGAGTGGGAGGGTGTCAATACTTAACACGATTGCATTATAAAGAAAGTGGTAGGTATCCTGCTATAAGAAACCTGTTGCAGATCATATGACAAAGGTAAGAAGACGATAAAAAGCTGTTATATTAATTGGTCTGAATTTATTATTTTTTCGTAAAATTTGGGATTCCTCAAAAACGGTTAGTATTTGAACATATTTATTGTAAAATGTGCTTAGAATCTGGCGTAGAAATCAAAAATTGAATAGTATGTACGATATCCTATTTGAAACAAGAATGCTGATACCTAATTCTGGTAAAACGGGTAATGTCACCTTTTTGAAAATATTTTAGACATATTGCTCCGTTCAGTTGTACTAAAAACCCAAATTTTCATAAATCTGTCAGGTCAACTTTTTAAGTAGCAGTTCTTTGTAGGAGATTCTACACATTCGGTACGGTCTATATCGTACGAATCGACACCACTCATTTCCACAGAACTGTCTCGTCATTGGGTAATCTCAGTAACCGCTGATCTGAACAGGCTGCCGCACAAAATCTGATAATAGTAGCTAGAAATAGTACTTAAACAATGCTTCATTGTCAATTCCCTTTACTTTTATTTATCTTGGTCTGTTTGCATGTCTGCGAAAATCTTGGAACTGGATTTTGAACCACATAACCTTAACCAATTGAGCTAAAATTTTGTACACAAGTTTATTTCGCGCGGCAATACAACATGAATTGACTGCTGATATTTTGAATCAAATATGGCGAGTACTACAGAATGGCGATTTATCATTCCTATGATATGAGTATAAAATAAAAGGCTTGATGGAACACAATAAGGAAAATAACATTATTCTAAATCAAATATGGTAGCCGCCGCAAAATGCCGATTTATAATTTTGACATCAGTATTAAATGAAAAGGTTTGATGAGAAAAATGCAATAAGCAAAGTGTCGTCATTCTAAATCCAATATGGCGACCGCCGCAAGACGGCGTCTACAATCACAATAAGTAGATCATGTCGCACAGTTATAAGGTACATCTAGCTCTGTATACATCAAAACTATTTTCATAATACAAATACGAAGCAATCTCAGACAGAACCGTTCTGATAATTGTATTATACGTATATACTACTCCTGATTTTCTAGAAAATTGTACAATTCCCAATCTTGTAAACGAGAGCTACTTTACAAGATAAATAGGACTGATTCTTGACCGGTACTTTTCGAATACTTCGAGGTTCTCAAGTTTTCAATTATGATAACAAAGATTTTCTTGAAGCTTTTTTTGCGGTCTACAGAAAACTAGTCTGTAATTTCATGAACACTTTTATAATTTCAAACTATGAAATGGATTGAGATAGTTGTATATATATATAATATGAGGCTAATTCCAATACAGACCATTTATTTTTCTGATACAAATGATGTCCCAAAAGAAATCTCGAATCTGCAATAACCACAAGTTCTTCTAGAATCAGTCCTCCAAAAAGTGTTATATTTTCTTTCTCTTAACGTAAATTAAAATTCAAGATTTCGTAACTAGCAAAATATACATATTCATAGTCAAATAATACCAATAAGAGGATAACATAATATCTGTATAAATGAAATAGTACAGGGTGCGGCAGAAGCGACCAGCTTCCATGAGTTATAAAGATCCAGATAATCTATACAAAAAGTGCCTTTAATTTGGAAATGAGCAGTTCATACCATTTTATGTTTTATCAAATCTTGAAAATAATAGAGTTAACATCTCCAATAGTCCTTCTTGTTTTAGCTCTGGTAGGGTGTGAGGAGGATATATAAGAACTTTTTCCTCCAGTTATTATATGATTAGGCAGGCCACTTCAACACATTTTCAGATGTCTTTGTTATGACTATTTGAAACTGCTTAACACCCTGTATTAAGAGTGAAAATAATGTTCCTGTTAAACAACTTACCCTTGTACTTTGACAATGTACATTATAAAATATGTTTGACATATTTAAAATGGAACTCAATTATTATATTGCTTATTTACATCTTAACAATACCATTTCGATGAAGTATAAACCGTAAATATTAGAAAAAATATTAGTCGTTAAGTTTACAGCTATCTACAAATTTATATAAAAAGTGTATTTTTGACCTGCAAAGATACACCGTAACAATTTATTTACCTTCATTTGTATGATACTACTCATACTATAAATGTCCGCTGTAACTTATTTAAAATGCTAAAAAATGAATGGGCACCTTTTTTGTTCAAATGTTACTAAATCGAAGAATCAGGGTCTATAAGTAAATTTTTCAGCGCTGGAAATAACTCAAATTTTATGTTGATCGAATCTATCTATCTTTTTTTAATACTTCATTGTCCCCCAAACGCCTATAGTTTGCAATTTTGGCGTTTTTGAATACATATTTGAATGTTTAAGTTATTATCTGCATGGTCGTAATACTTTATATATTTTGAATCTATTATAAAGCACATTGAGACACAGACAAAATATAAAAATGTAAGCGCTCAGAATAAAAACAGATGTTGAAATCTTATTATAATCGTATATTAATTCGTTTCTACTGTAAGCGCAGTAATGCAGCAATTTCATGCCTATTCAATATTTTCCGTAATTAGTATTGGAGAATGCGTTGAATTTTGGACAGTAATCCAAAAATTGCAAAGGTTTGGTCTATGAAAGTAAAATCAGGAATCAAAAGAAAAATATAAATATTGATGAAAAATTAAAATACATACATACATACATGTATAATCTGAAATATTTAACTTTAAAAATTTCTTATATGCGATCAGCTTGAAATTTTTTGTTATTTGTAGGTCCGAAAATTCCGCTCATGGACCCTGATCCTTTCTCTAGCCAAAAACAAAAAAAAATCAAAAAGGATTTCCAATTTTAATGAAAACACTACCTTGAATTATCTATATAATTCAGGTATTTTGGGAATTCCAAAAAAACTAGTTTAGTTTCCTACTATTTTACAGCACTTGGACATTAGAAGTCGTGCTTTTGAAATGACAAGGTTGTCTAACAGTTTTAAGCAAAATTCGGATAAGGCACCCATTCTTATTAGAAATCCTCAATATTATATCATTAAGTAATCACTTTAGTAGTCGTTAAACGAGGTTAATAATGAAAAATGTTAGGCTTGTATAAAAAGTCATTAACCTAGTAGGTCATAGAGATATGTATAAGTATCTATTTTCTTACTGGGTCCCTCAAACGGTTGTTTATAGGTACAGGTTGTGCGTTGCCTTCTTCCATGTTCTCAAGTTCTCGAAATCTCTTGTGCTTCCCTAGAAATTTTCAGAACAGATGAAGGATGCTTGATGGTGAATTCACAACAAGAATTTCAAAAAAAATAGTTGTGATATTAGTAAATAGACGATGCAAATACTAAAATGCACATGCCTCTTAAGCTGATACTATTTATGCAACATCATCATGAATTAATCTTAAAAGAATAATAGTTCTACGTTCACGAATGAGATAAGCTACTTATAACGGCTTTTGGTTATAGATGGATTATCAAGCAGAAAAGAAAAACAATGAGGTATCAAGACACACAAAACTGGCGATAGTGCGTTCTGTTATCGCTCTGATTAAGGTTATAGCTGAAACATAATCAAGATAATAAATCTTAGAACCTTACGCAGGCAGTTAAAACATTAACAAAATAATGCCATAAAACAACAACTAAGTACTGTTGGCGAGGCCATGAACAAGAATATTATTTGATTCTACCAAATTTGTTGCAATCTATTGCATTTATTGATTCAAATACTTACTTGCAACTTTAAGCATAATGACTCCCCACCAAATGGACCATCCCCATCCAACCAAACAGAAAAGCACCGTAAAAAATTGACTGAACGATATGATACAGTTGATTAGGAAAGCCCCCATGCGCTGCCTGCATCCATCTTTCTGCGAAAATCTTGGGATGCCTAGGCACAGGCAAAACAGCCCACTGAACAGTGTACCTGAAACAATGAGTTGACAATTGGTTTTTCTCTATTTATTAATTAAGGAAGCTGGGCAATGAATTGAATCGATCGTTTCAAAAACCACGTAAGACCTTTTTTCTAACATGCTTTTTTACTGAAGATGCTACATTAAAGGTAAACGTGTATTCTGGACATATACACCTGGTGAGTCCTTCTCCTTCAAACGATACTACGTAATACCTAGGTGGTTTTTGCATGTACTATTTGACGGATGGTACTTGAATCGGTCATGTCAAAAGCGATACCAGGATCATAGGTTTGTTTTATTTTCATATTTATGTGCTTTAAATTAACTAACTATAAAAATAAGGTTACTGGAGAATACAGTATCACTTACACTTCGCCTTAACTGCTTTGCCTTATCCGCTTTGCCTGAAATCAGTTACTTCGGGCTTTTCTTGCTTTCTACCACAATCGTTTTTATGACTGAGAAAGTCCTTTGAATATACCCTAAATGTTCTAGAAAGCTGTCCGTATAGATAGAATAGGAATAAAATCATTTTTTTCTTGTGAAATAATAAATTTTTATTTTCCACACCTCAAAATGAGATATGTTTTATGGATGTTATATGACGCGAACAGCTCGACAAATCATGTCACTCATTTCCGTCGGTCTCTCTGTGTGTCGGTCTGTCCGGTAATTCGTTGCCTGTCTATAACTTGAGAAGTACCGCTCGTATTTTGATGAAATTTCCACACAAGGTTACTATCATGCCAAGGACGAAAAATCGTTAGAAAATCGGTCCAGAGGCGGCGAACGAAGTTGCCAAAAGCTGAAAAAAATAAATTTCGCTCAAACATCGCTTTTTGACGTTCCAGAAGGCCCTTGTGATTAAAAAAAATTATATGTAAAAAATTGGGGGGTAGAGGGTTGTAGGGAAGTGGGAGAGGTTGTATCGTAATTTCTAGATGTTAGCATATTAATAAACCTATTAGACATATTTCAAACATCACAGATTTCGCCATATATTTTCCTCTCTTAAGACGGAACATTCTTACGGAACAAGTTTATTTCTGGGTTGGTCTTTACGGAGATTGTTCCCGACACATTGCTATCGCGAGGCTATCCAGTATACGGAAGACTTGCATTTGTGCATATACCGAGGGTAATCTAGTGGTAGTTGCTTCTAGTGTAGATTAGAGTTCTTCCACCCTACTGGGTGAGTACAGGATTTTTGTTAGTGTTATAGTTCCAAATCCCACACTTCTCCAATCCCAGAGCTTCCGCCTTTCACTGGCACAAAGAAGCTCATAGAATGTCAATATTGATTTCATTCTTCCATAGCTCAACTCCGGTGGTTTTTGTTGTCCAATTCATTGATTTTGTCTCAGTTATGATTCATTAAGGCCCCACGAAATCCTCCCAGCAGTTTCTCCGATGTCAGATATTCCACCCTCCAACTGCCGCTGTGGCAGTTTTCCGATCAGCAAACGTCCGGTGTTGTCGCAAACTATAACAGACCTCCTTGCAGATCAGTCGTATCCCCCTACTCCTCGCCTCCTGAGGAGTAACTTCCATCCAGAGGTAATTCTCCATTGTGGGTGTTGATTATTGGGTAATTCTCTCCACGTTGACGGAGGTAACAACTCCACAGCTTTTGTGCCCTCCGATGGCCTCCAAGACTCATTCTGGAGGTTCGTCAGATGAAGACTTCATCGAGGAGGTGATAAGAAGATCGAGGAGAGCTGTAAGAGGAGGAAGAGCCATTGAAGACATTCAGCAGAGCACCAGATCCTAAGGCTGGTCGAGATGGCAACGAAATCGTTCCAGACTCGGCGGGCCGTGGGAGCTGTGTTCATGGATGCCGCTAAGGCGTTCGACACTGTTTGGCATGACGGACTGATCTACAAGATGGTAGACCTCGGATACTCAACGGGGATGATCCAACTGGTGAAGTCCTATTTGAAGCACCGTAAATTCCGAATTAGGATTGGTAAAGCAACTTCGACGACGAGGACTGTGGAGGCAGGAATACCGCAGTTTGCAATCTACAGTTCAGACATCCCGAAGACTCCACAATCGCAACTGTATGTGTATGCGGACGATACAGCATATGCGGCAGAAAGTACGAGACCCCGCATGGTTACGGAATATCTGCAACGAGCGACTACCAACCTAGAGGAATGGTGCATCAAGTGGAAGATCCGCCTCAACCCTGAGAAGACCGAAGCGGTAATGTTCCGAAGAAACGGAAGATTACACCAGACCAAAATAAAGATGACGACCACCAGAATGGAGAGAGGCTGGAGAAGAGACGAAGAAGTTGAGGTTGACTGGAAGGACTCCAGCACATACCTTGGAGTCAAGATGGACCAAAAACTCACTTGGAAGAACCATGTCGAGGGCCAGGTGCAGCAAGTGAAGATGGCACGCTCCAGACTGAGACCTTTAACAGGCAGAAGAATAAGACCATCATTATTCAGATGGTGCTGCTCCAAATCATGACTTACGCAGCAGTAGCATGGGGCTACGTTTCCAAAACGATGAAGAAGAGGCTCCAAGCTCAACAAAACATAGCACTCTGTCGGAGCCTGTCGATTGAGGTGGCCAGAGTCAAGCACGGACCCGGGGCTAGCCTCAGGAGACGAATGACAAACAGCAAATGACTGACTGACGACGACTGACTGACCAACCTTAATGCGGGGGTTAGGTCAAAGCCCCCAGCGCAGGACCCCCAAGAAAGAGGCCGTCCATAAAAGTCGAGAACCGACAGTTGGAAGAAACGTCCACCACGTGCTTTCGCGACGCGTGCGCGATCGAGTCAAATTTCGGGAAAAAGGGGCAAAATTGGGGAGGGGGGTTAGCTCGTTCGGCAGCACACACTCGGCCTGAAGCACGCAGCGCCACGCCAGGCCTTCGGGGGGGAGAGGAGGGAGGAGCAGATTGCTCTCCCCCCACTCCTCAAGGGTTTGAGGTTGCCTGGAACAGGGGCGGTGGAGGGACGCACAGGGTAGGAGGGTGGGTGTGTGTGTGTGTGTGGAGGTTCGTCGTCACGTATCAGTTTAATTAAAGCCACATTTATAATACTACCGTTATATATTTTTTCTTCGCCCTTTTAGTTTTCATATGAACTCTCAAAAAACAGAAACCACAAAAGAAAGTAACAAAATGCAGCTAGTTCAAAAGTTATGTGAATAACTAGTATTCCGCGTTTTTTGCAAAGAAATTCTTTGCTCACACGTAAGGACAGCTTAGGTTTAATGCTTCCAAATGTAGAACTGGCTCCGCCATGACAGAAGTTGTGAATAACCTTCTCCCGAAGGAAGCTCAAACATTTATTGTAAAAATTAGGTGAATTCATGGTTCGTGCTAGCCAAGGTATGGCAGCGATTCCCTTAGGTAATTTTTCAAAGTCCGAACAGCTACATGCCTCGCATTGGCTACCTTCAACATTAATGTACCTGCACAACTATTTTTGTGGTGCGTTAATTTCTTGGAAAGGTAAATCGGTTTTGAGAGTGAATTAACATTTCAGAAACGCAAATATAATCATAAATATCGCTAACAGTAGCTGAAGTAATCAAAGGCAGCAGCGGTGGCTGCAGTAGTAGACTCTTCGGTCTCCTGATCAGCCGTTGTGCGCTGTGCGGGTTCGAATCCCGTCCCAAGAGAAATATTTCTGTTGGCTATGGATGCTGTGATTGTCCGTAACTGGTAGACGGTCTCTGACTGTCGAACGCGGAAGTACCACCCGGCGGATCTCGTAGGCGAGGCCAGAATGTGTGCATGTTGCATGCACACGTGTTCCCTCGCCAGAGTCCGTGTGGCGTTCTCCCCTTTTCCCTGTATCCCCCTATAGCCCCATGGTACCCCATGGGTGTTTAGGCCTTCGTGGTGGTTGGAGTATAAAAAAATGTATATCACCCCGCCAAATACCTAGCCAAGTACTGGAAGTTTTGAAAAAGAGGTACACTGTGAATCCCTAACTAATATGATTATTTTAGTTAAGTAATATACCACTAGCCACATGTCCCACTAAAACGACTTCAGAACAATTGTTTGAGCTCATCCAGTATTATTATTAATAAGCATGTAGTGCCTCTAGTGATAATATTAGTTTGAAACAAGATACAGAAACATAATGAATCATGTTAAATATATAATGGCTTTTTTCTAAACTTTGTATAATCTCAATGTGCACCACTTAAATGATTACAAATATTCTCTCATTGAATTTTTCTCATTTTTTCTTTCGGTCTTTGTATCCCATCAATATTTCCTTTCTTTTATATGTATTAGTTACGCCATAGCTTCGATACTTCTGCATTTGATTGAATATTATTCTTGTATCTTATCTTATCCTATATCTTCACCTCCTAAGCTTGAACCAAGATAGGTTAGTTAAGTAGGTTTTGTAGGATTAAGTGGAAGACCAGCTATTCCTCTAGGGATGAAAGCTGATTTTTGCCTTTCCCGGGGTATCACTTCATATCTTTGTACCTTGTTTTCGATGAATATAGATGATTATTATTTATTATGATTATCAAATTGATCAGTCTGAATATTCCAGCCACTCTAAAAACAAAGAGGTATCAATAAACTGAAAAGGTTATTCGAAATTTCAACCTTTGAAAACTCAAATACTACAATAAAGCCAAAAGGTAAAAGTGGTTTATTTGTCAATAACACAGTTTACTATCTCATGAGAATTTGAAATTGTGTATCTTCTCCAATGACGGATTTAATTGTACCTTTACCAAATTAACCATTTTTTATATGTTTGGTGTCCTCTCTGAGTTTCAAAAAACACGTGTACTCTTTTATATCTGTACAGTACCCTGGAAACAAATAACGAAATAACTCACCGGTTCCTGGTAGGATGCAATTCATTATTAAACAGAACCAAGCCAAGCAAACTGGTAATACTGGAATCGCCCCTCGCATATGTGAGCTATGCTCTACCAGGCTTATGTCGATTTTTGGAGTAGTGTCCTGAAAACAATTAATGTGGTACAGAATATATATTTTTCTTAGCGATTTGGCAATGGGGTGAATCCATTCATCACATTTATGAATAATAGAAAAGTTTTTAGTTTTTACATCTTATTCATGCTACTATTTAAAAATGGAGCTACGTTGACTAACGTCTCTCGAGCCCCAGAGACAGTCGCAGATGAAATGTCAAGATTTCAGCAACTTTTGTGAAGATACTGTTTTACAGGAAATGTAACAATAAATGTCCCTTCATAAGCAGTTTGAGAATGGTATCGTACCTCAGGTGGAGGTACACTACCAGGTGTAAGGCTCTTCTTCTTGCTCATCACAGATTGCTTCCGGACTGGTTCTTCTCTTACTGGTGGTTTCTTTTTGCAGCAAGCACAACAAAATATTGCTGACAGAATTCCCATGCAGCAGGCTTTAGAACATCTGCAATAAGAAACAAAAATATTTATCGAAGGATACTGGTATATCACAATATGGTCTTTCTTTGATCTAAGGTTCAATCTCCCTGCAACCATTCCAGGAAATCATGTATATTCTTTCTTACCTATCTTGTGCAGCATTCATACTTTGTTGCCGTCCATCCGCCCAATCTCCTTTTCGTCTTCCCAGATTGCAACAACTCGTGGACTTATCTCCGACTTTATTCCTCCCGCAACATTTCATCCTATCCCAGCATCTACCTAGTCTTCCTCTTTCGTTTTCCATGGTTACCTTTGATGGCAGGCCTTTTGGTTTGTTCTTATTACAGCAACAACTGAAGCAACTTGATTGTGCTTCATCCTGCAAAGGACATACATATTTCAAAGTAAATAAAAAAATAGCCATGCATAAATTATATAGGTTTTGGTTATCTGCTACTTTAAATTTTGAAAGCAAGAAGCTTTCAAAAAGACATCCCATGGCAGAAAAAAGTGTTTGCGTACCAAAATTATCTTAAAAATAATACAGGCCGACAACAATCTAGAGTAATTTTTCCGAAGGTGTTGGATGCGGTGAATCCAAATCCGTGATACAAATCTTTCAATTGCCTCTAGTTTCCGAGATATTCTAACCTAAAAGAGAAAAGCAGCGAATTTTCTATGAAAAAGACATAGACATCATCTCAAAGCACAAGCTTTGCTCTCTTAAAAATGCCTAAAAACCTTTTTTTTTTCGCTGAGATATGGCACTTTGAAATTTTAATTTTTCTGAATTTCACTATATTTGATACTCTACACGTTACGATTACGTGAGCATCAAAGTTGTGGTTTGGATTATGATACACCGAAAATTTATTAACGGTTACCAGTGTTAGTTAATGGAAGAATTCCAACAGCATGCTTCTTTGTGGTTCTAGCCAAGGCACTTGTTACAGTAAGTCAGCTAGTAAGCTGTTGGGTTTACTCGAAAATAATGGTAATAGGGGAAATCTTTGAAATTCATGTCTAGCTATTTGTCAGAACGCAAACAGTGTATTAGAGTCGGCGACCTGACAAGTGATTACTCATTGAGGAGGATTTTGAATCTATTATCATAACTGTAAGCTTCTAAAAGTTAATTTCTCAAAAACCAGCTATATTCCATTTGTTTTCTTCAGAGTCAGAGTACGACACGATAAATATCAATTTAAGTACTAATAATACAATAGCTATCAAACCGACCTGTGGCATTAAATATTTGGACACTGTCCTTGATGAAAACTTGAAATGGTACAAACGTATTGAATACACTGTGAACAAAATTAGAATGCTATTACCAACATTTAAGTATCTAGAAGGATTACTGACGGAGAAGTCTTTAGAGACATTATAGTTTGCATTTGTACTGTCTCACTTAAACTATGGTATCATTGAATGGGAGCTGTGACCTCAAGTCTCCTCATAAATCTTGAATGTCTACAAAAATGCATTCTTAAACTGATATACAAAAAAAGAAAAGCCTATCTTGCCAACCACTTTAGTGGTTAATGCTTCCACTGATATACCAATTCTAAGGGTAAAACAATCGATACTTTACATAAATGGCATTTTCACACACATTGATACATACACCATTTATATGTTCAATTAGGATACAGAAAACCATTTTATTGTGTTACGTCATCGTTATTATTTTGCAAATTTTTTACCTGCCACCTTTCTACAGGCTCTCCATTTATTTGTCCTCTATAAAATTTTGTGTGTAATGGATCTGTATTTTGGAGATGAAAGAAATATTGCGTACTCACTTATTTAAAACCCACCCTCCCTTACCAAGGCCTTTACGGTTCTTATTTTCGATTGTACACCTTTTTTAAATACAAAACACTTTCTTACGATAAAAACTGAACATGTGGAGTATCAAGTTTAGTGAAGTACATAAAAATGAAAATTTAAAGGTGGTATATTACCACGGAAGAAAAATATATTTGGGCAAAATTAACGGCATTTGAGAGCGCGAAACTTGTACTTTGAGACAATACCTAAGAAGTTTTGAAAAAAAAAGTTAGCTACATAGGCAAAAATCACTATTTTTGCACCTTCAGTTTAGGATATCTCGGAGACTATAGCCAATTGATTTGGATTACTGATTCGAATTCAGCGTATCAAAAATATTTGGGATGGAATACTCTGGTTTCTGGGTAATAATAAGAAAAGTAACGGAACGGAACAAGGAGTTCAAGAGCGGCCTTCGATTTGATCTTGAGTTAAACCTTCGAAATGATTACAAGGTCAACTCTTATTTTTCAAATGTTAACGCAGCAATCGAAAAAAACGGAAGGTCATACGTCCTAATGTATTTTGCAATCTAAGATCAAGTTTAGCAGGATTACTGAGTAATAAAATTCTGCTGCAATAACTTAAAGTAAAGATTTAAATGATGACCTTGAACCCAACCTTAAGCTTTGCATTCACAGTAATTCCAAGGTCAACCATTCGACATCGACAATGGAAAATTTTACGTTTATATGTGCACACTACTGTGACCCTGAAGTCTCAAGGACATAGCCAATTTCAATACTGAAATCATTGTTATAAATTAATGGCCTTTGTCACTAATAATCCTGTTAAACTTCCAGGAATATTCCTTAGCCTAACATATTTGACCTTTATTTGACACTTAGAAGTGGCTTTGGTCCTAGGTTTTAAGAGCAGAAGCCGGCGTTGAAATAGCATTTAAGGTGAGACTCAAGGTCAAATTCAAGGCCACCATACAGCTCCCTGTTCAGAGTTATTACACCCTTAACACGCCTTATCATAGAACCACCCTATTTACTAAGAGTTTCTCTTTTGTTGCGCCCAATCGCTATAATATGCTCCCTGTCAGCTTTAAAGTCTTATCTGTTCCACTTTTTAGGTCAAAAGTAAAAAAAATTGTTTTTGAAAATATGTCATAATTCCTTATATTATTTAGTTTTTAACTTATGTAATGGTGTAACTGTTAACTGTGACTATATATGATTTTTTCTTTAAATTAAAAAAAAAATGCCTATTCTTGGCATAATAGATTTTGCATTATTGTTACTCAACAATGTTTATGTCTCCCAGATTTTGTATTATAATTTTGTTTGGCCCTGGTTGGTATGAAAAACAGCTTTTAGCTGACACCCGCCAGGTTAAATAAAGGCTATTATTATTATTATTATTATTATTATTATTATTATTATTATTATTATTATTATTATTATTATTATTATTATTAAAGACCTGACCTTGTCGTCTTTCAAAAATACGTCAGCCGGAAAAATACAGAGCCGTTCCGTTACTTTAATCACACACGGTATGCTTTTCAGTCTCGACACTTAAAATTATTAACGTATTGAATCTGAAAATAGTATACGATGTACTGTATTCCGGTGCCAAGGAAGGGATGTAAAGGACGCCAGCATCATCTATGCAAACACAAAAATAAAATTTGAAAACACTGTTTAGTTTTGATACTGTCTCACAGATGGCGCTACGATTGTCGATCCCCTTCTGACGAAAAAAAATATTTAAAAAACTTAAAACGGCATTTCAAGGTGCCTTGCTTGAACTTTGAGATGATGTCTATGATTTTTAGAAAAAATAATAATTTGTTATGCTACATAACCTCAGATAATAATTGCTACAGCAAATTGAGAAATCTGAACTACGGATTCGAATTCAGTGCATCAAAACCTTCGGGAAAGTATTCTCCTGTTTCTGAGTCGACTTGTCTTATCGCGAGTATTAAAATACCTGGTCCTCAATAAGCTCGATATCTCTTTGCCTTCCGTCGGTCTTAGGCTTCTTGCAGCAAGGCGGCACGCAACAGTCGCTAATCCTGCAACACCTGCCCTTCCTGCAACTTTTACAGTTCGACTCCGGACATTCACAGGATTTGCAGCTCTTGCAGGAAATGCACGGAAGACACACCGCACAGGGAAGACATGATCCACATGGGTTGCAAGGCTCTCCCACCTTGCAGGATTCGCAGGAACCACAAGGTTTGCAGGACCCGCATGGTTTGCAGGGCTTGCAGGATAGTTTTCGTTTAACGTCCCTAAAGAACCTTGTGCAGGCATTCTTTGGAGGAGGTTCCTTTTGAGGCTCGTTGGGTGGCAGAGCTTGTGTTGGGGGTAAACTGTAAAGAGGCATTGGGTTTATTTGTAAAGTCATTATTGAAAGTAGTGACAAAGAAAATCTGAATATGAATGAAATTTGATATAGTTATACACAGGCAGGATGATGTAGTCACGTCGTCGGGGCATGCTTTGAAGAGGTAACTTATATATTTTTTAAGTATGCTGTCGCAATCTACCCTAGCTAGTTGTACTTGATTGATTGATAGTACCTTTAGAGGATGAGATAAAAACGTTATTTCTCCTCCCATCATACCCCACATATGTTCAAAGGGCCAACGCTCTCTAGGTCTAAGAGGCCAGGTCTGGACGCTGCCTTTAGTGCTATTGAGGCAGTTCACTGTTTCACTGTAGCTCAAGCAATATGCAAGATAGGGTTGCCAGACGTTTGGAAGAATAGCAAAAAATGAGATTTCGGCATTTCCTGGAAATACCATATGGAATGGCATTCAAAGCCACAACGCCTACTAAACATTAAATAGAGTCTTTCTCGGGCATTTCTAGACAGAAACAAGATTCATGAATATAAATAATGTTAGAACACGCATCAACGCAATTTTCTGTTCTGATATGCATGGTGGATGGGCAAGTGTCAGTGATTCAAAAACCAAAATATCTGGTGAAAAATCCAAAAACGATGTTCCTAGCGTTTTGCTCCTGATTTTGTTGATAGTTATAAGGATGCATAATTTCTCTTTAAATAACATTCGTTCCGAAATGACGAGAAGAATCGTTATATGAGAGTATATAAACGAACAGTGTCACGTTCTAAATTAGGCCACTATATTGAGATATGGCAAAAATCAATTACGGAGTCGAAAGTACATAATTACGGAGTCGAAAGTACATAATTATGTTTAACTATGAAAAGACGTTATAATACATGCCAATGGATATATGAAATGATACGACGACGATACGTAATTGACACATTTTCTCACAATTTATAGCGACTTTAGTGAACTTATGTCAATTCTTAAAACATAAAAAAGTCGAATTTGAGCGCAATTGAAACATCTTTTTGCAAGCATGTAAACAGTATTGGATCCCCCATTTTGGTTTTGGGAAAATCGATTTCAAATGTGTTTTCAGCGATCACAAAAACATATAAAACATTTTTTGCAAACATGTTCGTCGCATTGATCTGATACGGAAATAAAACGACGTGAAAGAAATAAAATTCCTCTAATATTATAATATCTGCCTGTCTACTTTTTGGCGAAAAGTAAGATCTAGCAAAATCACTACATAGATATGTGAATGAAAAGGACCAGAAAATAACAAAACAAGGTTATTTGGGGGTATTGATTATAAAACCTTTTTGGAAATAGTCTAGTCGCCTAAATCGGATGAGCTTAAAAACTATTAAATGGCTTGTTAAACCGATATGAAGGTATAATACTGATCTAGCAGGCATGCAACTTGCTTTTGTTCTTGCTATTAGCCGATGGATCCATGGATGAGTTTTTTAAATGTTAGATATTCCATATGGCACAACCAACTATCGAGACCAATAAATCCTGAGCATCTCAATTTGTAAATCGGTAAGACGGATATTTCAAAAGATTTATTTCGACCTTCCCGAGCTCAAATTTCGTTCTAGACAACGGAAGTCCGAAATAAAACTCTAGAAGTTGGTTTTGCTGTTACAAATACAATCGCTCAAGTGACTTATGACTGATTTTAGAATAGATACAAAAAAAACAGTCGATATTATCAACTAAGTATAAATCATCGCCAGTTATTTTATAGATGAAAAGTAACAGAGCCATTTTATCGTCCTTCGGTTTTCACACCTCCTACCTCTTACACCTCTTACTCCAAGACTCCGACAGGCTTACCTCATCTCATACTGACTATATAATCTGACATATCCAAATAATCACAGCACAAAACTAATTTAGATATAGATGGCTAGAGAGCACTAGTTCACGAGTATTCATTACGCTGTGACATCTACTGAGGTGAACAGCTGATCAGCAAGTGACATTTTTGTGTTAGTCTGCAACGTTGGCAAAGATAAATCGGGATAAATCTCGTAAAACTTGTTTGTAGCGTTCTATTTTTTATATGCAAATAAACTTTTCTGAATAAAAGAGCTTCTAGCAAGTACAAAATCAATCTGTAGCGTACAAAAAAACAAAACAATATTTGACTCTGTCTACCTGGCATTGACGGATCCGTCAGAATTATGCGACCTTTGCCGATATGGGGAATTTTAAAATATCACTAGATAATCAGCTGTCATTCTACCGTAATGGATATTCATGAAAAAGAGTATATATTACATTCTAAACCCTTATGCAAGCTCATTTGAACATGCTTAGAATTGTAGTATCAACAAGAACTAAATACTCTTAAGCTTTCTGGATTACTTTGTCGATTACTCGTAGTGTATTTCAAGACCTTTCATTGTCCATTTTCAAGACTCCATCTTATGTTTTGCATATTCTATCTTTCACACCCACAAGGGAAACTGGGTTCATAAAATAGAAAAAGCAAAAAGCAAACTCTCCCACACCAGAAGCTTTGAATTCGACTGCCCGCACTATAGGCGATGCTTAGAAGCCAAGACAGTCCTTCTGAGGAATAGTTTCTCAACATGTTCGATAAATGCCGTAATCAGAGCGGACGAAATTTCTGAATTTGAGCATACCTAAATAATAAAGAAAAGGAGGAGAGAAATCGGCATGATGGAATTTGTCACCTCATCTAGCGCATCTGATCGTCATGACCCATGATGTCAAAGCGTCTGAGCGTCTGTCCAGAATAAAAGATGTCGTAGCCTCGAATTCCACTGGGTAGCGAATTTTTCTTCCTTTCTTTGTTTTACAAGTTGGCATATTTTCTCACTCGAATGGGAAAGTAGAAAAAGCTTTAATTACCTAGCTGTTCCATTGGCCACATTCCCGTTGTATTCCTCATGCAAGGGCATTACGTATATGAACGTCATTTCGGGCGCGGCGTACGCGATTTTTTTGTCCTTAACACTGGCGATTTCCAGGATTTTCATTTGTTTGTCGGCATTCCTCGCCACCAGCGGCTACCGGCGCGATAGGTCAACTGGCTTAATGGCGAAGAATTTTCAGCATTTTCAGCGCGGTTTCGTGCAATTAATATGCACGGAAATATTGATTTGCGCTTAGATTTTTCTGCATATAATAATGCTGTGGCACGAGTATAGTATGTGTGCTTTATAAAGAGAATTATTTGTTGACACTGAGTTCGCGACTTTTTTCCTACGCGGAATATTTAACGATAGCAGTATATAGCTGCACCCAAATTAACATTTGTAAGAATGTTTCCTGGTAAAAAGGAAATGTTTTATACTGAAGTTATATCTCAAAGATATCCAGAATGTACAGGGTGAGTTTTAAGTGGGAGCTCGGTAGATAAATCCGTTATTGCGCATCCTATCTAAAGAAGTTAATCAGAAAAGTTATAGTCTACAGTATTCTCTTTACTTGGAAAATATTTTTACCGGACATGGTTGTTCGTAACTACTTGGTAACCCATACATACATGTTTTAAATGAAAAGCCCTACATTTTATTACAGGTTTGGGTGGTCCTTCCAAACAAAGCAATTTGATACGACAGACTATAGGATTTCTTATTTCAAATTGTAGAGATATTAGACAATCTTTCAAAAAAAACATTCAAATATGACAGCTCGCACTCCTTTAACTGTTATAGCTAGAGTGCTCAGTTTTTACCAATAGAAATTGTATGATCCCATATTTTCTCCTCATCTACTTACTTTATCAGTTTTTTGATAGTCGAAACAGGATGGTCAAGAAAGCAAAATGAACGATTTCAAAAATTTTCAAATGAAGCACCCTGTATAGTTTCACATTGTTTGATTATGCTTTTCACAAGCTTTCTTTTGGTATGCGGTTTGACCGTCTGGGTTTTGAGTTACAGCTAACCTTGTTGTAAGGGGATATCCAAATCTGTAATAAAATGTAGAGCCTTCTATTTAGCTGTTAACAAAATAAACAGAAAATTCCATTTTTTTCCAATTGGACATATTTAAATGATAATGAAGGTCCTTCGTCTTAAGTTTTCAAATAAAACCATATGACACCCATCCCACTCTCAAAACATAACTCGCTTTTATTTGACAACTTGGGATGAGGAGCTTAAACTTTTACTTAATTTTATTAACAGCTAAATAAAAGCTTGTTTAAAAAACGCATTAATATTTGTGATGTCAAGTAACTAGCTTAGGAATGTCTAATAATTTTTATATTTCTTATAAATATGACTTCACAAAACTTCTTACCTTATTTGTATTATAAAATTCCGACAGATATAAATCATATAACGATAAATCGATATTTTGTGGCGATCGCCATATAGAAGTTCGTCCGTGGTTGACCGTTAGCGGTCGGTCTAACGAAAGTTGTATTGTTATATCATAAACTTGTCACAGAAGAGCTGAAAAGTGTGTCGGATGTTTAGGACGATGTATCTATCTATTGTTCATAACAAGAAAGTCATCTAGATCAAAAGCCATTGACACCTTCGTGCTAAATTTGATCAAAACTCAGTCTTTGCAATGTTAATTTGCATGACTAACACTCAGACTAATAAGCCATTTCACATGATTTCAAAGAAGAGAAGCATTACCCTTCTTATTTTCCGAGCCCGATAACGCTCACTGATATCGTCATTCTCCAAATGAAACACTGAACAGTATTGAAATGGGAGCTTGCAGAAAGTTTGAAAGCTGGTATAAAACTAAGCTAAAAAGACGTTATTTGCTTGTGTTTCTCTTATTAAGCAATTACGTTTGAAACTCATATGATAGCGTTCCAATGTTTGTCCCGCACTACTAACAAACAGGTCAAGCAAAATAAAAGCTTTGGGTCACCACGTAGTTATGAATCACCATATGGGGACAAAAAACTTTGTCAGGAGCATTCTGGTGACTCCAAGTTTTGTGTTTATCATTTTTAGATACATTTTGTAATAATGGGGTTATCGACAAAGCCCACACTA